ACTGATTCTTTTATTCCCTGCAACACCTGCCTGTACCAGGGACTCTCCTGGGTGCTGGAGGCACACTGATGAACTAACAAAGCCTTCATTCTTGTGAAGCTTATATGTTGTGAGAAAATTGCTAACAAAAACATACACAGCACTACTGTCACATATAACTAATTAGAACAAATTTTTTATTAAATACCAAAATAAACCCATAACAATAAAAAAATCATAATTTCAAACAGTGGCAAAAGCTTAAAGAAAATAAAGCAGGATAAATGAATAGCAAACGAGGAGGGCACGGCATCAGGAAGGCCTCTCCAACAAGTTCACATTCCAAAATGATATTYAAGAGTGAACCGTGGGAAGATCTAGGGGACGAGCACTCCAGAAGGAACCGGAACCCAGTGCTGGGTGGACCTCAGCCTTTTGAAGAAACAGCAGGAAGAGAAGTAGAGGAGGAGAAGGCAGAGAGGAGGGTGGAGAAGCAGGGATCGGAACACTTAAAAGCCACAAACCAGGGAGGCGCGGGTGGTCTTCAGTCTCTACACGTCCTTCAGTGAGAGCCACCAGAGGGATCTGAGCAGAAGTGAGCAGAAAAAGCTCAGCCTGGCTGCTGAGTGGAGGACAGACAGCGGGCAGGCCAGAAGGCAAAGAGACCAATAAGGACATCATTAAGATAATCCAGACAACAGATGGCAGTAGTCTGGACTTGAATGGTAGTGGAGTGGATGAAGTGGTCAGAGGCTGGACGTGTTCTAAGGACTTGATGAAAGAGGCCACTTGGGGTATGAGGGAAGGACAGGAAGGACTTTGGACAAGGCTCAAATGTTTTGACTACTGTGCCATCCCCTTTCACTGACCCTTCAGCCAGTAGGCTCTGTCCTTATAAATGAAGCCAGATCATGTCTAGTTATCGCCTCTGACRGGGTTAATTAGATAGTCATGTGCCAAAGACTACGTAAAGCCCATCCTTGGGCAGAGTCCCATCCTGTGAATGGCTGTGGTCTAAAAGACACAAGCAGCCTGGAGAAACTGAATGAGGCAGGGGCGGTTAAACAATGGGCATGGTGACGTGGTAGGAAAAGCTTGAAGACCAGCAGGAGACCAGGGGTGTCCTTCCCACTGGCCCTATGACCCCAGGCTTGTCCCTGAATCTCTCTGCTGCTCTCTCTGAGGCCCAGTCACATCTCTATTCAAGAATTTGTAACCGCTGGGGCTGGGGTTGTATAGTTCAGTGATACAGCGATTGCCTAGAAGTGTTAGACACTGGGTTTGATTCTCAGCACCACATGTAAATAATTTAAAAAAAAAAAAAAGTCCATCGACAACTAAAAAAAAAAGAATCCGTAACTTCTCCCTAGTATTTATCAGATTTAACCCTGCCACATCAGCCAAGCTAGATGCCCTTCAATAGATGAATGGATATAAAAAAAAATTACACAATGGAATATTACTCAGCAATAAAAGAGAATAGAATCATGGCATTTGCAGATAAATGGATGGAGTTAGAGAAGATAATGCTAAGTGAAGTTAGCCAATCCCCCCCMAAAAAAACAAATGCCGAATATTTTCTTTGATATAAGGAGGCTGATTCATAGTGGGATAGGGAGAGGAAGCATGGGAGGAATAGATAAACTCTAGATAGGCAGAGGAGTAGGAGGGAAAGGGAGGGGGCATGGGATAATTAATGATGGTTGAATGTGATGATCATTATTATCCAAAATACATGTATGAAGACACGAATTGGTGTGAGTGTACTATGTAAAAACCAGAGATAGGAAAGATTGAGCTCTATATATGTAATAAGAATTGTAATGCATTCCATTGTTATATAAATAAATTTTTAAAAAATAAATAAATTTTTTTAAAAAAGAATTGTAATGCATTCTGCTGTCATAAATAAATAAGTAAATAAATGTCCATCGGCAAGTAAAACATTAAAAAGAGAGAGAGAGAATTCGTAACTGCTCCCTAATATTTATCAGGTTTAACCCTGCCACATCAGCCAAGTCTGGAGACCTCAACAGTTGTTTCCTTTACTCTGTGCTCCCAAATATGGGCACAATGCTTGCCACATGAGTTCTTAGGATTAAATGAGGTAATGTGTGTGAAAGAGCAATTTATAGTAGATGCTCAATAAATGTCCAGTTCCCTCCCCCTTATCTTTAGTCACTTCTTGCACCAGGAATGTCCATCCTCCCCTCTCCACCTCAGTGTCAGACAAGGGAGGATACTTGTCTCAGACAGGATGTAAGGAAGAAATCAGGAGACAGGAGCGCTCAGGGCTAGATCCCACACAATCCCAAGAGATCTAGGGGAAACGCCTTTACCTCTCAGGAATTTCCTTTCTGCTTTTCTATAAGACAAACCAAGTTGGATTAGATGACCTTGAACGTTGGCCCCTGAAGTATGCAGTCTTTCAAACACCAGAAACATCAACATGTTGACTGGTACTCTAGGAGGCCTAGCATCCCAAGGTCCAAGCCCCCTTACACAATGCACAAGGGGCCATTTCTTCCTAATGRCATGACTGACATCTGAAATGTTGCATTTTAGAGTTCTGGAAATTTTTATTAGCAYCAGCCCCACCTCCCATCTGACTCATGCGGAATATGAAAGAGGCAGGCCGTACCAAGCTCGGTTTAAGGCCCAGCCCAGCAGAACCCTGTAGGGGACCTTGGCATCCAGCTTTCCAGCTCTGGGATCTTCCTCCCCAGCTCATGTCTCATGAGYAAGAACAGCAGGCAGCAGTGCTGTCACCAGTCCTAACTGCCAGCCAGTCTTGGGAGGAAGGCAAACTGGTTTGACTGTTTTAGAAGACAATTTGTCAACATCCATTAAAATTTAAAATGCCCATGCTAGGCTACTCGGAAGCTACTGGGAAGGCCGAAGCAGAAAGATTACTGGAGCCCAAGAGTTCAAGACCAGTCTGGGCAACAGAGGAAAAAAAAAAAATAGGCTGCAAGTGTGACTCAGTGGTAGGTCACTTGCCTTGGGTTCAACTGCTAAATAAGTAAATAAATAAATATCCATGCCTTTTGACCCAGCAACTTTAGTTCAAGTAGTTCAGTCTGTAGAAAAATTTAAACTAAGGTGCATAATAAACGAATAAGGTTAGATCCCTGCAACTTTATCTGTAACAGCAAATAATACTTCATCTATAGTCATTGGGAATGACTCCAATGACTGCCAACAGGAAGTTGGTTAAATAAATTCTGATACAGCCCTATAAGAGTCTGCCTCTGGCTAAAATCATATATCTCTCAGAATAAATAATGGAAAGTCATATACTGACATAAAAAAAGATGCCTAGAATATATTATTAAATGTCAGTGATCCTATTGTGAATCACAGTTGTTATCTCTAAGAATGACATTATAAGAAACTTGTATTTTCTAAATTACTATATATCTTCTTTTTTTAGTTGTAAATGGACACA